TAATCGCTCCTGGGTTAGAGGCCATGGGGTCATCAGGGTGTTCAGGAGGTTCAAGTTTGGCTTTCTTGAGATCTGGCGCTTCAGAAGCTACCGGCCTTCTAAGGGAGACTTTGTTGGGAGTGGGGTTGTCTTTCTCCTTCTCACGTCGGTCTTTGTCTTTCTCTTTCTCTCGCCTCTCTTTCTCGAGAACGTCAGTATGTCTGCCGACTGAAGGTAGGTAGTGTGCTGGCCTGTCGGACGTTGGCATCAGCAGCAGAAAGAGAAGAAACCAAACCCCCTTTTGATGTCGACACACAAAGAAGACGATAGAATTTGGGCCAAATGCTTGAGCCAAAATGGCTTGAGCCATTTTGGCTCAAGCCATTTTGGCTCAAGCATTTGGCCCAAATTCTATCGTCTTCTTTGTGTGTCGACATCAAAAGGGGGTTTGGTTTCTTCTCTTCTGGGTCTGGGGTTGAAGGTTGAAGCTTTTAAATAGAGGGTTTACCCTGGCATCGATCGCGTTGCTTGGTTGACAGGTTACTTGTGGCACATGAAGTAGAGCAAACGGAAAAAATCCAGGTTCCTGGCTTGGGGGAACCGAAATTTTTGAGCTTTTGTTTTGCATCTAGCTGTTTGTGAGTTTGGATATGCAAGGCCTGGATTTGGGCAAGGTACTGGGGGATTACAATTCTCAGGCTTTGTTGTGTGGCCAGCTATTGGTGTATCGTAACCTTGGGTGTGTTTGCATCAAGTGATTAGGGAATTTCTTTTTAAGCGCCTCTTCCGCCTAGCAGTTAAGGTAAGCAGAATCCGCACTTGCGGAAGGCCTTTACCCGTACTGCCAGTGATTAGGGAATTTCAACTCGTAGGGTCTTGATTTGCATCAAGCCATTGGTTGATTACGCTTCCCAGGTTGTTGTTTTCCTGCAAACTATTGGTGAAGTGCAATTTGCGGGTTTTGCTTTGCACCAAGCTGTGGAAGACTTCTTATTTGCAGGGCTTCGATCTGCTCTATTCGGGGACTACAATTCTGAGGCTTTCGGGTTTCTGTTTTGTGCCAAATGAATGGTAAATTACAATGTTCGTTCCTTCTTGTTCTCCCAGGCTTAAGGAGCGAGTCAGGCCCCCCGGGCGCTAAGGCCCGCCCGTATGTTACGGGCTTTGCAGAGCGGTGTGAAAATGAACTATGAAAGACATTTTGATGTGTGTTTTGAATTTGGTTTGGTACACCACAAACTCCCCGTACTACGACCACAGTGATATCATGGGGAGGGTCTGTGTCGGTGGCCCCCAACATCGATTTACCTGTGGCAGTGCTGTGTCCCCTCTCTGTTGTTTCATTATGAATTCTGATATGCCAACACAAACAGCATAGGAGTGCAACACTATCAAAATTGCTGTTCGTTCGTTCGTTCTGTCTTTCTTTCCGTCCTCCTTTCTGGATTTTGCTTGGAATCGTCTGTTGCATCCCTGGGACAGGTGTGTCTGTATAAAATACGAAAAGTTTTTCTTAACTTGTTGTGATTCCTTAAATATTTTGTTGCTCCCTTAAAAAGTTGTGTAACCCCTATGCCGCTTAAGTCTCCTTCTGGCTTTGCGTCTCCAGGATTGATCGTGCAAGTCGGTATGACAACAGCACCGTTTCACCTGAGTGTTTGCTGCTGTGTAGTTCGAGAGAAGCATCGTGATCCTGCTTGGTGGCTGGCGATGGCATAAAGCATTGCAAAAAGGCTGTTGCCTAGGGCCTAGATGTGAACGCTGTCCTTGGATGTGTCGTTGGGTCGTTGGGCGACGGGTTGCTGTTGCGCGGGGAGCCTTCTTCACGAGCTCGTCGACGGTCAAAGGATGATTAAGCTTTGGCTGCCATACCTGTATGGTGGCACGTTCCTCGGCTCAAGCTGCACCATAATCCCGGCGTTGTGCCGGCTTGGTCGCTGAGAAAACTTCGTATATACCCTCTGTTGTGGTGGAAGGTGGATCTGATCTGCTTCGGGTAGCTTGTTCTTCTTGAAGTGTCTGAGTTTGGCAATGCCATTGCAGCCTCTCCTAGCGACGGTGGTGTTCGTGGGGGCAGGATAGATCTGCCCAAACCTGCAAAACTAAAATGTCCGCTTCTACATAAACTCGCAACGCTCACAAAACTTGTTGAAGGTGCAGAGCTCTGGCACTGCTGCATTTTGCGCGAATCACCCTGCGGATCTGCTGCTAGTGACTCTTTGACTGCGGCATTTTCTGTCCTAGCGTTCTGGACGAGGAATTGGAATTCGAGGCCGTCGGCTACGGGAATTTGGGCGGGTTTTGCTGGTTTGCGGCTTGTTTGTCTCCTGCTCCTTCGCTGCTTGTTGTTTCTGCGGAAGATGTCTGGATGGTACGAGGCATGTCGCTGGTGCCTGAAATCATGATAGCAGCTGTGATATGCCTGTCTTGTCGTGGTAGCGTACTGCGGATCGAGGACTCATCCAGCTCTTCCGTGGACGAGTGGGCCCTGTAGCGGGCATGTTCGCCTTGCAGAGCTAGCTATGCAGAGCTGCCATGTCGCTATGATTGACAAGATCCTGCGGTCTCTGCGCACTCTTGATCTGGATGTTAAATTCCATGGCGTCGTGGAAATGTTGGATCTGCCCGTTCTGACAAATAGTGGCCAGAACAACGCACGGAGCACTTTATATACCAATCAAAAAAAGCAACCAAAAACAGACTTAGACGAGAACATGATGCACGACCTAGTTGTGACATTGAATATTTGAAAGCTGCTGTCTCTAACTGATCTCAAGCTGGTCATCGAATGGCAAGAATCCAGCTGGACGTCACAGGGAATCGATCTTCGTTTTAAGCTGATTGATATAAAACAGCGATATGGAAATAAAGTGCTGACGCGCACTCAACGTTGACCAGGTCGGTCGGCGTTTGGGTGCTGTTAGGAGCCTCTCTTAGGGCAGGCCATGCCCATACACGGTTTAAACGACGAGAACTTCAAGCTGTGCGTGGCATGTAACAGTGTAACTCAAAGCTGAACCGCAAACTCAAACATGTAAAATGCTGCAAGGTCTTCAAGAGGCTAGATTCATGTAAGAATTTATCGCCCAAGACATGTCGAAGCTGACAGAAGTGGTGCTTTGACACTGCTCGAAACCTGCTCTCAAAAAACGAACGCAGATGCTGGTGCAGGTGCCAGGTTGGAGATTTGATGAAATCCGTTACTACTATTGCGATGACGAAGTCGCTGGGTGCAGTTTTCTCGTCCTAGCCGGATCCGGAACTTGATAATCAGCGGGACTCTAAGAATACCTTGTCCAGAAGCATGCAAGAGTGGCGGTGTGTCCGAAGCTAGCAGCACTTGGCCAACTGATTCAGCACGTGACGACTTCAACCTGCTGAGCCTCTCCCCCCCCCCTCTCTGTGTCCCAGGCCCTTCCTCCGCGACGCACCCCGTGGAGATGCTTCGCACCACACGGCGTAAAAAACGCAGTGCTTACAGCCTCCTTTCAAGTAACCCAAGCCAAGCTCGGCGAGCCCCTGTCGAAGAGACAAATCAGGGGTGCAAAGATTCAGATTCTGAAAACAATCGCATTCGCCCTCTACAAGACAAATGGACAAGAGCGGAAAGCTGCGACACTGAAAGCCATGACTTCGTTGAGGTTAACGGTTAACGGTCAACTGTGGCGTCGTGGAGTCTAAAAGCGAAAGACAAGCACAATCACGCCGCGATCCCTGCGCCACCATGTGCCACGTCGTGCTGCATCACGTTGTAACATGCCCGCCCCCCCCCCGGGTAACCTGCCCGGTATGTAAGCGTGCCCCGACAGACCGCGACAAGGCAGACACGGCATGGGCATGGCTCCACTTGGAAAGGCCGCATGTCGCAAGCTATCGCAAGCTGTACTACCGCAGTCGGACATCGTGTGGGCCCCTCGCAGTGCCCAAGTTGTTCCAAAACGAGAACCAACACCCAAGATTGTCAAGAAACCAGTACGTACAAGATAATACATGTGGTTCCGCTTCTTTGCGAACTAGGTTGGAAGGGACATGGTGAGAAACGGACTGACCCAGGACTTGCCATCAGACATAAAGGCTTCCGATTGCGACGAAGGAGGCCAGAAGTGGAGACACTGAGATGCCGGACTTGGGTTCACGAGACATGTCCACTAGCATGCATGCAATTGCATGCACCGACGCATGGGAGGACAAAGCACAAGGCCTCCTGTGAAACTTCACGACGGAAGGCGGGAGAGAGGTTGAGGGAGTCGTACGTACACGCTCGCATCCACCGAAATCCACCGAACATACATCAGAAGATGGCTCTCGAAGAAACGCAGGAGAACAGGCTTGAACAAACGTCCCACCACCACCACAACAACAACAACAATAACTGCAACAAACAGTAATCAACAGGCAACAGGCAATGAGCAACGAGAAATTAACAAACAGCACACAAACAAGCAAGAAACGGCAAGAACCAAACAACAAACAAAACACAACAACTGACTAGTACGACTACTCCTCGTACGACGACTACTGCCACGGCTGCTGCTGCTGCTGCTGCTACTGCTGCTGCTCGTTCTGGTACTGGTACTGGTACTGGTACTGATTACTGGTACTGGTACTACTCCTACTCCTACTGCTACGGCTACGGCTACGGCTACTGCTACTCCTGCTGCTGCTACTGCAGCTGCTGCTACTGCTACTGATGTCTACTGCTACTGATGGCGACTGCTACTGCTACTCCTGCTGCTGCTGCTGCTCCTGCTCCCGCTCCCGCTCCCGCTCCTGCTCTTGCGCCTGCTCCTGCTGCCTGCTGCTTGCTGCTTGCTGCTAGCTGCTTGCTGCTTCCTGCTTACTGCTTACTGCTTACTGCTCACTGCTTATTGCTCACTGCTGACTGCTCACTGCTCACTGCTTACTGCTACTGCTTCTGCTTCTGCTGCTACCATCTGGACCGCGACATCAGCAAGGCACGCACAACACAAGGTGCGAGAGCATGCATTCCGTGCAAGATTGAACAGACCAACGTAGCAGGATTACGCTGATGCCTTTCGGTGCCTCGCCAAGTTCCTCGGCCCAACTCTTCTGGCCACGCCAAGTCAGCTCACGCTGCTCATACGGCTCACGTAACCCCAGCAGTGAGCACACCTCTTGTGTCTGCCGAGGCACAATGCAAAGCCTTAGACATGAATCAGACAGTGTCAGCAGACTGCGCAGCCCCTTGAACGACACAGCTTGAGACAATCGTTAGCATGTTCTTTAAGACTTAAGAATCATGCGCAGTGCTCCCGCTAAGCGGCTCAAGTTGGCATCTCCGAAGACAGCCGAATCAGCAGTTGGATCAATGAGCTCCAATCGATGGAATCTGCCAACAGCCGTGCATCCTGGGGCCTGCAGGACATGCAAACATGGCAGTCCGGCGCGAACATGTTGACCGAAGACGCGTTGCACAGACACAGGAGTGTTCTCTGGCGCATTCCGTCCACCCTAAGCTTTCGGCTCGGACTGCTGCTCCTTCCGCTGAAGCCAGGTCCGGGTCGGAATCCACGGCCTCCTGGATGAGAGCCGGCAAATCCTGCAGACAGCTGACTGCCACTCTTGTGAGATGTTCCTTGATATATGTTCAACCAGACACATGTTGGTGTTGCACTTTATTGCTTGTCCTTCGAGCCGTCGTAACGCGTCAGCACGTATCCTCACCCAAGCAGCACGCGCACTACGTCACTATGTGCTTATGCTTGCACAAGCATACACCCACACACAGACACACACACCGGCACGCGCACACACACACAGAGACACGTTAGCAAACGAAAAATCCTTACTTAGATGGATGCTGTTTGTACATTCGCCACCAGATGGAGTAACTCTCCCCAGGTGCACCATGCAGGTACGTTTACTAGTCCAGTGACATAGAGTTTTGTTGGCTCGAGCTATGTGAAAGACCTCGCGCCCCTGCAACGGTTAGCGATTCAAGCGAAGTCCTGATATCCGTAGAGACAGGAGTGTCTAACGCAGGCACACACACACACACACACACGCACACTCTACCGGACGTAGCCCATACCAGTGAGCTGCAAGGGCTGCAAGTACATTGTACAGACGTCAACTGATTGGCATGCAAGTCAATCGAACAGTGTGCACAAACTTCAAGCATTTTGTCGGTGGTCACACCAAGTGCTCATTGTTTCTGCATACAAGTGACAGTAGCACACAGTGACTTTCATAGCACTCACATGGGCTGGTTTCTTCAATGAATACCCGTCTAGCTTGGGCGTGGAGGCCATAGCATGGCTATAGCGAACCACCCGCTGCGAATGGTAGAAAAAATTGCCAGTCTACAGAGTCATAACAGAACGGCTGTTATTCTACTCCTGCTGTCACACGATCAGCACTTGAGGTCAGCCCCGTGTGGGCGCACACAATATACACTGGGCCCACTGGGCATCATTGGGCACAGGCACCGACACACAAACCGCAGCTGCGAATCCCTGCCGAGAGGCGAAGGTCTTTGTGGCACAACTTTCTCAGAATTGGGTCCGTAGTACCGTCCAGCTTCCAGTTGAACCTGCCCCAGATTAGTGATGAGTGGCTGTGGTTTACTGCACCGTTTAACTGACAAGCAACAAGTGCCCTCCTGAATGCAGAGATTGCGTCCAAAGCCCCACCACCAGCCGTGTTGCGCTCACGCATCCCGGCAATGTGCATCGCAGTCAGGTCCTCAGGCTCAGGCTGTCAACAAGCATGGCACTTCCACTCACTCACCGACATGCATTCACTCAGAACCGTCCACCACACTCACACCCAGGCACCCGCTGTAACCCCACACACACACACACAAACACACACAGATACACACTCGTTCACTCGCTCACTCACCGTCGCTCACTCACTTACTCACTTACTCACTCATGCACTCACCCTCACTGACTCACTCACGCCCTCGTTCCCTCACTCACTCACTAACTCACTCTTGCTTGCTTGCTTGCTTGCGCAGGGGTATGGGCTCCTTGGGGAACCCTTGCCCGGAGGCCTACCCCCTGCACGGCCCGCGCGATCCAAAGTCCGTACGGCCCCTTCCGGGGTTGAGACAATCACTCGTTCCCCCGACTGAACTTGTTCAACCCCTCCCCCCAAAACACACCTGCTAAGCCATGACCATAGGAAACCTGCAAGTTCCAGTCGGGTCATCCGAGGTCTCTCCAATTGTGCGGAGCTGTAGCTCCACCTTAACCAGGTAGTGGTTGCTGTTGAGCGCTGCGCCGGGGAGGGTGTTGATGTCGTGGATAATGTTGCGGCACTCCTTGTGAATGATGGCATGGTCCAGTTGGACTAGGTCGCCGTTAGGGCGCTTGTGTGTGTGGCGGTTTTGTGGTGCTTTCTGCAGCCAGCTTTGTGGGAGGCAGTAGTCCTGTGAGGCCAGTAGATCGTGGAACTGGCGTTGGTTGGTGTCGGCCTCTTCGTCGTCTTCCTCAGCGGCTTTGCCGGGAACGAAGTGTGTGCCAGTGGCATGTGGGCGAGTGGAAAGCTCGTCTAGAGCGAGGGCGTTGAAATCGCCCACCACGAAAAGGGGGGCTCGCTCTCTGTGAGTGGAGACCTGTGAAGTGAGTGATTGCCAGAACTGGTCTCGGCACCGTTGTTCTCTTTGGTTGTGGGGGCGTATACGACCAGTATGCTCAACGGCGCCTCAACCGTGTCAATGGTGAAGCGCGAGATTTTGGTTAAAGGCTACAACCTGTCCGCTGTGTTTTTGCTTTTTCGCGAAAATGCGCACTATGACAAATAGGCTTGTATGAATGAGAAAGCCATGCTATTTCAAACATCCAAGAAGAAGTACGCCAAAGCCAGCGAAAACAACAAAATGAAAGAAACCAACAAAAACAAACCACAAAAACAAAAAAAAATAACAAAAAAAACAAATTCTACAAGTCTTCCGGAAATTATGTGATCCAGGGTCTCTTTCTGAAAATTCGTTTTTTCTGGCTATTTTGTTGTTTTTGGTTTTGGTTCGTTTGGTGTTCATGGTGTTGTGTTTTTGTTGGTGTTGGCTTCTTTTGTTTTCCGGCCCAGAGCCATCTTCTTTCTAGTGCGTTCAAAAAGTTCGACAACCTTCCCAAACTGCCCACATCGAATCTTAGAGGACACGCAGTCTATATCGTTGCCAGGTCGTGCTGCTTCCATCTGTGCATTAGAGTGGCTGTATATTTACATTGATGTTCGATTCAGTATCAGCTAGGCTTGACTTGTCGAGAGAGTCACATGACTGCAACAACAACGAACCTCTTGTTCGGGCAATAGTACACCTTGTGAGATTGTATTCGAAGCCTGAAATACACCATAGCTTAACCAAAATCACCAAATATGGTGTCATTGAGTATGATACAAGAACAAATCGAATATTTTGTTTTCACGCGTCAAACCACGAACGACCAAAAAGCAAAATAACAAGTTGGATTCTGTCTGCCACGAACTGACCAGCCCTGAAAACCGTCGAATTCCGTCCCGGCCTTATAAACTTATCGAATAAAATACATATGTACGCGGAATACTTTGCATCTAGCTTCTGTTGGGAGCATGCTGCACAGCATGGCTCTAAAAACTGTACCCTCAGCCCAAGTAGCAGCAAGTAATCTATCGAAAATCTTATGCTTCCAAAACTTGTTTTCATTTGTGTTGTCATTTCGAAAAAATGTCGTTTCGACTATATTCCTCATCTAGTGTAGATAGACGAACTCAACGAACATAGTTCATGCAGCTTGACTACACCTGTTACTGTTTGCAGTTTTCTCTCATGCATCATTGCAGAGGAAAAATTCTTTGTTGTGTCGTTTCTGAGACACGAGAACGCTATTACATCTGCGGCTGCGCTGATGTCAGATATCTTCCCACTGTGTAAAGTCACAATCTTGCTATGTCGAATATCAAGACTCGCTTTGAGTTATGAAGTGCGAGCTTTTCGAAAACAAAAACACACATGTAGATAGGTTCTTTAAGTATATATGGACATACAAACATACATGTGTTTATGTTTATCTCCGCTAGCGATAATCACTGCATTCGACTCACACACTCGCACAAGGCAGGCAAAGCTTACTCAATAGCCCCATAGATATCATAGACGTCAGTACGTTCTTGGACCAAGTAGCTCAGGTTAAGACTTCTACATAAAAACTAGAATTATCAGCGGCTCAACCTTTGCACCATAGTACGCATACATATATACATGTATACACATGGACATGAATACCTGAGAATACGTAAATGATGACATAAAACGGACATACGAAACATACGTGCAAATATACCTTTTAAAATAAATACATAAATATATATATATATATGTATACATACTTATTTATCTACAAATTACTTGCTTGCTTTGCTTGCTTGCTGACATGCATATGTCCATACGTGCATTTCTGTGTGTAGGCGTGTGTATGTCTGTCACATATACATATACATATATATATATATATACATATTATATATATATATATATGCTACCCCCCGCCCATCCCCGAACCTTCGGTACCGAAGTTTTCGTCTTTAAGCTGACGGGCTCGCTTAGTGGGCCGAGGGTGCCCCCTGTCGTGTCGAAAGTCTGTCCCGAAAGCCACCTATGTGTTTGCTTGGGCATCATGAGCAAGCACGAAGGCAGCTGACAGAAAAGGCTGCGAGTGCATGCGCATGGTCGCGAGAGTCCGACATACAGCAGAGTGTGACACAACTACTGCTAACCCTGGCGAAGCAGGGTCATTGAGGTTAGTAAGACAAATAAGACAAGGAGCTTCGCACGGCATGGGGTCATACTGTAGCATCCCCAGGGCCAGGCACGCAGACTTCGTATCAAAGTGACAGTGGCTAGGTTTAATTGGCTGTCGTTACTGTGTTTACACCGACACGTCTTGTCGGAGTGGTAAAGAAAACAGGACCCAGTTTTCGTATATACTTTTCGTGCTATTATGTTATGTGTTATGATATCTCTCACCCCCCGCTTTCCTCTTGGGTGTTAATCTCACAGCCCATACTGGCGCATATATACTGGCATCTGATTGGGTAGGCTCACACAGAACATACCTTATTATGTGCCTTAACCTTGTCTTCGTCTTATTCTTAGTCTCGGTCTTAGTCATAGTGTTCACAGTGGTCTTGACTGAGTCTTGGTCTCACCTTTAATCTTAGTATTGCTGTTACTATGAGTAGTGGTCTTAATATAGACATCATGTGCATAAGTTTTTGTCAGTATTAGTAATTTGAAGAATTTATGGCATTTAGGGAATTTAAGGACTTCCCTAAGACTTCCCTAAAACCAATACATAGGGCTAGGCATTAAGGAATTTAGGGAATTACTTCTGGAAAATCGGTCTTTGGAGGGGGGAGGCTGGCACATATGGATATATGTACATATATATATATATATATGCTTATAATTGCTTATATGCTTGTATGTTTATATGCTTATATGTTTACATGTTTGTATGTTTATGTGTTTATATTTCTATATAATTATGTATGTATGTATGCTTCTATAAGTTGTATGTATATGTATATGTATATGTATATATATATACATATATATATGTACATCTTATACAAGTCATATAAGCACATGCATATATGTATATATACACACATAGACATTCCACCCACATGGCGTGCGCCGCTGAGCCTGCACATGCTGTACATATACACGTGCGCAAAAGCATCAATAACGCACGTCACATCAGGCCCAATGCCAATATGCCCTTTCTGTTAGCCCGGCGGCAGCACAAGACTTCCAGGCATTGAACTTGTCCGGTAAGTAGCCGGAAGAGTTCAGGGCTTCCAGCTCTTCAAGCTTCAAGCCCTCGAGGACGTGCCTGTCATGAGCCGGCAATGCGCCCTGCGGGCTCCTGAATCCAAATTGGCCTCAGTAGCACGTCATCCTCGGCGCCCCACTTCGTCAAGAGATGTGTTACCTCAGTCAGACGGCGTGATCTTGGAGTGAAAGGCACGGCGATACAGTCTGCCCGAATGCACTAAGCCCGCCCGGCAGTGCTGCATGTCTGCCAACCCCTGGAAACCGAATCGCTCCGCTTGTACCAGCTGGCTCCAACACTTTGGACGCTTCCGCAAGACTTTTCACAAAGCGCGTGACTCCAGATCGTGACAAGGTGTCTTGAGCACTGTATCGTTAGAACATGCATGCCACATTGGCAGCCGACTCGAGAGAAACGGAATGGCTGCAACATGTACCCTGAATGTTAAGAACACGGGCATTTTCTCTCGTGCTGCTGCTTTTGACTTGCTTCTGCTGCTTCCGCTAGTAGGTCTAGACAGAGACAGGAGAATCCGTCTTTCGCAGCGACACGAACAACAGACGGCAGCGGCGACCCGGCGAGCGACCTTCGAAAGCAGTCAGCTATAGTAGCAAAGTTTGTCACGAACACAAGTGACCCCGCCAGGACTATGCCCAGCACTGTGTGGAAAGCACAAACCTACCTTTTGGTTCAATGCCGTGGAAAGCTGCTCAGCGATTCGGACTAGGATTGGGTTCTGTCGACACGGGTCCAATTGGCGAACATGCATGCGGTGATGGTTTGAGCCGCATCCAAGCAAGTCCCGAAAGGCTGGGTCAGCCGGTGAGTCGAACAACTGGTTGGTTGCAATGCCAAAGCATGCCGCGGCACCGCCTGTTTTTCCTACGCTACTCAGTCTAACCCTTTCAGGGAAGATACAATCAAACATCCCGCACAGACTTTAGTGCAGCCAGCGGCATTCGCTTGCTCTGCGGGTCCGCATCTTTCTACAGTCTTCCGCTTCTTTATGGAGCCACCCTTGTTCTGAAACGCATCTTCATCCTCGCCTGAGCCCACACACAAACCAAACCTGATCTCGCTCAAGCAGTAAAGAACCTGCCAACAGATAGTGGGCAAGTGTCTGAGAAGCCGCTTCAGCTTCAAAGTACCGTGGATGGCGTCCTTGAGGTGTTCCTGAACTCCTGCATGTGAGCTTGAGGGGAAGGGAGGAGCAAGCGGACGCAACACTTACACTTGCTTGCCAAGAGAGCGACCCAAATCCAAGAAATCCTACATTGCTCATCCCATGTAATCAGCACAAGCTGCCTTCATCGTCAACGCAGTCTTCATCTTCATCGTCTTCTTCTTCATCATCCGCAGCATCGGGATTCTCTGGCTCAACCATCTCTAGCTGCAACACAGTCTTGAGCCAGAATCCGCCACGAAAGAAGTCCAGAAAAAACGCTGGAACTTGCGGAACAATGAGCTGGCTCAAGGCATCTCAAGGCTCAAAAGCTGCTGAGGTCCTACACTCCGACTCCAGCCTGAGCTGCAGGAAGCGTAGGAAGCGTCGAACGTAGAAGTGCTGCCACCTGACCCACGCAGAGGCGGGTCTCAGGTCTCAGAAAAAGCCCCCAAGGCAGGAGCCGAATATCGAGGATGAAGAGGGATTGGCTCCAAAGATCGAAGGACTCGGCTGCGCCTCGGCGTCGCATTGCACAGGACTCGGATGAGCCGGCCATGACGTGCGGACCTTGACCAACACGGCGCCTAGGAGCTGTTAAAGCGGGTGATAGTTGTTGAACTTGCGAGGTGTGTCAGAGTTCCTTATAATTTTGTTGGATCGGCCAAAGTATGCCAAAGTCAAGGGATCTTCCTTCGTCACACGCCAACGACAGCTTGCAAGACTTTCCGCAAGCTCCGTGCCGTGGCAGCGGATGGTGCTGCAGGCGCTGCAGAACCGAAACCAAACCTGCAAGCACTGCAAGCACCTTGGATTAAATTTCGATTTCAGCATCGACAAGATATGCTTTGCTGAGCCACACAATGCCGGTTGCAGTCGAGCTCGAAGACCTCTCAAGCGGCCCCACTGATTCTTGACTTGCGCAGGGGTTCTTCGTATCCAAGGAACTGTGCGAAGCTTCCTGTCCCGCTGGACCTCATTGACAGGATGCCGCCCGCTCATTCGCCCCGATACATTTCACGGCCGAGGATCTGAGTTGCTCCTAGGAAGGCAGCCACGGCACTCTGCCTGAGAATTGCAGAGTTTTTTCCGACTCCCATCTTCAAAATTCGAGTAAAGGCCCGGGCTTGCCCGACTCCTTCTCGGCCTTTGCTGCCGCAACCTCAGAAGTCTCAAAGCAAACAAACATGAATTCTGGAAGACAGCCTTTTGGTACCAGTACCTTGGCCCCGGCCTCGGACTCATAGCCAGGCCGGACAATCTCGCAAACATTGCACTCCAAGTCCTGCCATCGAGAAACCCTCTCTCAGGCTAACTAACTGCACATGCAGACGTGTTTATGCAAGCCTGTTCGGACCACTGCAATCGACATCCATCACAGCGCCAGCCAGAAGTTGCCTGAACCCACAAGACCAGACCTTTCGGGACCATGGTCTCACAAGAAAGAGTTCTGCTGTACAAAGCGCCTGCTTCGCAGGGCTAAGCCTCGGCCTGTGCCTAAGCCTGAAGCCAGCCTGCATCGCCGCAAGAGCCGCCAAATCACCCGGGCCCTCGCCCAAAGCGCCGGCTCCATAGGCCTCTGCCTCGGCCTTTTGAGACTTCTAAGGAGCAGCGATGAGCTGATCAACCCTCCTTCGGAAGCATCCGCTGTGCACGAATCCAATTTTCACACGGCGATGGCCTGGAGCTTGCGATGCTGAGCTCGAATGTCACACCAGGGCGGCAACAGCCGACAAAAGGATCAATGATAGGAGAGCCTGGGTCTGGGAGCTAAGCAAACACAATCTAAGCATGAAGACTCGCGATGATTCCCACTTGAGGGGACAAGCTGTACAAGTCCATCGAAGCCACAACTGCATGTTTGGCATGGGTGCAAAACGCACATGTCAATACCAAAAAAGAAAGCGCCATCTGATGCTAGTACTGCTAGTAGGCAAGTCATCTCTCCAGTTGGGTGGTATCGGCATTCCGCAGGGGCCAGAGTGTCTGAATCATGAGTCCGACCTCCGAACCCGGAGCTGCAGCATGACTTTGTGAAGCAGAGACTTCCTGGTGGGCGGCATCAACGCAACGGCACGTTTTGCCGAAGTTGTCGCGTCGATCACAAGCTCGTGTACCTTCCGTTTCGGTGGAAGGCACTCCAGCTATGGACAGAGGGTATTCTTGTAGCTGTCCTGTATCTGCGAAGTGAGCCCACCAATTCTGCGCTCCTTGAAGCTTTTCACCCAATTTGTATTCGCCGGCTTCATACGCCATGGATCCCAGGGCAGCAGCACCCCAACGCCAATCTACTTGTTCTGGCAGCGACCGCATGCAAGAAGCCTCCGGTGGCAGGCTGGGAATAAGAATGACAGCTTCACGGGTATCGGACTTTACGTTCGTCTGCAACCCGCTCGGTTCGGAAATCCTGCGGGGCCGGGTCGGCAGAATTCGTTTTGCACTGGTCCGAGAAATTCCAGGCCACCCAGTCTCACCGGTATCCTCGTCGGGCTTCCAGCGATAAACCCAAAACCCTTGATGGTCAAGGACCTTGATCTGAGCATGCTCGTTTCACATCCTCTTCTCTTCGCACATTGCTACATCTATCGTTACAACCATGCGAGCTGCTACTTCTGAGGCACCCGCCACAGCGAAGACATATGGAGTGTTCTCAGCATTCTCGAAGCGATCTGTTCCACGATAGCCACCACCATGCCAAATATCTGCACCCTCAGCAGTCCATGGTCGGCAGCCAACTGCTAGCGGGTTCTGCTCACAGAAGGATTGAAAGTTTTGAGGCTGTGAAAATTGTCTCGCATAGCCGTTGTCCTGCGCAGCTGTGCCTGGCATCGGCATGCATCCGCTCACCTGCGCTGTAGCCGTGACGTACAGCTGGTTGATGTTGCCTGGCAAAGGATGTCCCCGCGGCACTGTTCCAATCAGACCCTCGATTGCGTCGAACTCCCATTCCCAACAATTAGCATGCTCTCCAACCCCTTGTGTGTTAAGCGTCAGCTGTGAGAGCATGTACAAAGTGCCGTAGTAGAAGCTATCGGCACTCAGCACCCACAGTGCGGCAGGTGGAGTGAGGCCGCGAGGGCCACTGTCACCAAGTCCCCATGGAGCATACTTGGTTGGCCAATCACCTTCGCCGCCCTCCCAGCGAAAGCGAGCTTTGGTCGACTCCCACCCAGTCCTGGCAGCGTGTGAACCTGAAACTCCTGCCTCTGACAACTCCCCAGCTGTTGACGAATCTTGTAAGACGAAGTGACTGCCATTGAACTGGTACGCCTGGGCGACACTTGCTCTGACAAAAAGTGTCTGAAACACATGGCAAAAGCAGAGACCAGAAAAACGACCTGTCCCCGATGCATGCAGTCGTGTCGCATCATGTGCTGCACTGTAGTGTGGTGTTCTGTGGCCAGAGACGCTCTAATGAAGCAGCTGTGAATGCGGAGAAACGGCAAAATTGGCTTCAACAAATCTGCTGTTGCGCCGGCTCCACTGCAAAAAGACTTTCCACATGAGTGAAAGAGAACGTGCGGCTTTCATTCTGGGTCAGAGATCCTGCTCGTTGCTCAACACAGCAAACAACGGAGGCACTGAGTCCCCTCCTTTCTTGATCTAACCTTCCTTTCTGAAATCCTGCCCTCGGTTGTTTCCTTCCTTCCTTCCTTTGTTCTTCTTATGTTGCTTCCCGTGCCGAACCTCCAGAACCCCCTTTTGAAACCAGGAGTAGCTTGCTGAACAGCAAAGCCCAGAAGCCGAGAAGCCAGAGAGTCAAACTACCACATGCTTTGTTTGCAAAAATCTCAACTTGCTGAATGGCTTTCTAGCTGCTCACGACATGCACAAGTGCCCGTCCCGCCTGACGGGCTTCATTAAAGAGCACACCCTGCTTCAACACGGCACTGTTTCAAAAAGAAAACTTCACAATTCATCAATAACAACACAGGTCAGGAAGCATCAACAGGTGCAGGGCAACCATTACGTGCCATTTTTTGTCACTCGTGCTCGACAAGTCAGACGAGGTGTCACGTAATTACAACAAGCTGCTTGCATTCTCGATGGCTGCATGTAAAAAGCACTCTTGCCGCCCAAGGCACAGCTGCATAGTTTATCTTGGGTTCTCTAGCGCAGTCAGGAACACCATCACAAAATGAGGCGTTCGGAATTCGCGAATTCTTTTCACAGGTTCCAACCACCCAATTGAAATGAGGTCTCCAACCACAGCAGCTGGAGCGCGCATTCAGCGAAGATACATACCTGAGAACACAGAGCACACTTTCAGCGATCAAGACTTACCCGCTCTTTCCCGAGTCCGGATGAAAGCCGGGCACTACAACGAGCCGTGATCCTGGGCGAAGTTACCTACTTGGCGAGGTCCCGAAAAATTAGAGATCACGGCAAGCAAGAAAACAGAGGCGACGAGCTTGAACGGCTGCTGAACCTTGAAGACGTGTCGCTGGCACTGCAAATTGGTCGTGTCCTTGAATGTGGAATACTCGGGGACCACGTTATGGGATAACTGCGCTCTGTTCCAGGTCCCAGCTTGTTTAACCGAGTCTCGGAAACACCAGGAAGGTCTGCTTCTGGCCTCGGGGCCAAGCTTCTCGAGGTTTCCGCTTCGCAACGCCGAAGCTTCTTCGCCAGACCTTCAGCTGATTCGAAGCCCTTCGCCTCCAGTCAGCTGCGCACATGTCGCGGTTGTTACATCTTCTCAAATTTGAACCCGGAGCCTGGAGGTACCTTTTGCAGGCAGACTTCGGAGATCCGGCTTCTTCTGCAGACGGTGAAGGCGTCGATAACGATATGGCCTGCTCTGCTTCTCCGGTACTCTCTGGCTTGGATTTATTTCGGCACTCTTGTACGCGCCACTAGGGCACTGTTTTGGCAATACTGTCTCCTGCCTGACTGCAACAGTCAAGGAACTTGCCAGCCACAGTAGGGCAGCAATCGCCACTCAAAGTCGAGCACTTCGCATGAGAAGAGCCTGAGCTGGGCATGTCGACTTTGAAACCATGAGGATCGTGACATCAGCACTTCCTGTGTTAATGCATCCAGATTGCATGCAGGTGAAGCTGCTTGGCACTCACATGCCACTGCAAAAATCGCCAGCCAAAGCGCAGCCAACGAAACCAACTGCCAACCGTTCTCGGCCATAGCCATAGCTCTATGGGGCGCTGCCCTGACCCAAACAAGTTAGACGCGTTCTACCTTTGCTTGCGCTCGTGATCGGAACACATGTGCCCTGGTCCCAAGTCGGAGACCATGAAACTCGTGTTGAATAAAGTTTCTCGACTTGTGCGCCAAGGTCAGGCTCGTCATGCTGAACGGATGTGCCAGTGCTGTATTTGGAGCGGTTCCAGGCCTTCTCCCAGTCATCGTCATCTTGCCTCGGAAGCTCCGTCCTTGCTCAGCGACAACAACGTCAAGTGGCCGAGTGCGAAGCGCATCCCCCACCTGCAGACACAACATCTGGTCCACGCATTTGCCATGTTGAATGTTTCGTGTAAATCCAGGTCTCAAACACTTGTCATCTCACCACCTGGTGCGAGTCTCAGTCGTTGGACAGCTAGCCACAGTTTGGAACTGAGAAAGCTGCTCTTTGCTGCGTTGAAAGCCTTGGCAAACTCGTCGGCCTCGCTTACTCAAACTTTATGTGGCACACAACTCGTGATCCACAAACAGCAGGCGGCCAATTCTTCAGTCTTGAAGCGGAGAGCGAACTTTTCCACCTTTCCAAGTAGAACTGCTTACTTTACTACAGAGATTGGCCTCATGACAAGTTTAGTTTAGTGTATCATCGAATGCCCGTCCTTTTGCTCCTCATCTGCCCAGTCGAGTGCAGTCCACACCTGGCCCACGTCGATAGACAAATGCACCAGGTGATTGCGGCATAGATGTGAGATGATCTGAGGTCGACGCCCAGATCTTGGCATTGCCAGCATTGTGCACTAAGTCCTGGATACGGATACCATGAAGTGGACAAGGAGATAAAGATTCCATCTCGAGGAATGTGCACAATACGGGTGTTGATCAATGATGTAGTGGTTGGCGACGATCTTTGCAGTCCTCGCGAGGATTCAAGATTCAACCTGCTACCTCCGCATGAGGCCAATGAGGCCTCATAGCATCAAGCCCAAACGCAAACACACACTGAGGCATGAGCTTCTCTTGCCGCATGAGGAACCGACATTTTCCGGTGCCCCCGTGCCTTCTTTATAGAAAGTGGCCGAGTTTTGCTTGAGAGAGAGCACGAAGCTTCGACGTAACGAGCCGACGAGCCTCAGAATCTTGGCATCGCCTGTCCCTCGCTCCTTCCATTCGTTCTCGACGAAGCGGAGCAGCTTGGAGCGCTGACTGTACATCTCCTGAGCCACGAAGCACCAAGACGAAGCACTAATCCCCCCCACCCCCCACGCTTCTCTGTGAGACTCCGCCTCCTCGTCTTCTTCGCCGGTCTCGACGTGATCTCTGACTTCCAACGAGACAGAGGGAGCCCAACCAGGAATCTGCGTGACCTTGTTCGTCGCGAAAGCTGACCCATCCCTCGATTGAAACATCATGCTTGGCCGTCCACTTCTTCTTCAAAAACATACTGCTCGTCATCCTCATGTGCAAAACTCAGCACAGCCAACAACGGAATCTCGGGCGCGACAATGCGCCTGTGCCCCGTTGGCTGTTGCTCCTGCCCACCTTGGAACACATCTAAGCATTCAGTGGCTGACTATCAGAATCTCAGAATCGACAGCGGATCCACGGGCTGCACAGACCCGTCGATGGAGCCTTCTCTGCGGCACCCGTCGCCCTGAGCTCGTCAACCCGGGCTTCTCAACAGCTCTTGGTTTGTTGCGAGGAGCCGACGCTGCTCCCTGGATGCCTCCAGCTACCAAGGGCTATGTCAACCCCTCTGTCACACGCAGCAGCGCTCCATTTGTCCACTTCCACTTGCGCTCAGCTTCGGAAGCCGCAGGATCGGTCGGTCGACCAGATGGATGCATGTCGAAATTAGCTAACCTGAAACACCCTGCATTCCTTATCTTCCGTAGCTTGTCAGTCTTGCGGAAGTGGCGTCAGGCAGATGCTGCATTGTGTTCAATGGTGCAGAGAGCGGGTGACCGTCGATGAGGTCAGAGTATGTCAAAGTCAGACGACAAGAGACGACAATGCTCAAGATGGGGTCCCGCGCGACATCCACCTCGCCCGATGGCCGCCAAGCTCCTCAACCTCCGCGCTGGCCCCTTGAGAACGCAAGATAATTAGATGTCGATGCTGCGGCGCGCAGCGAAGCAAGTCCACGCTTGTGTAACTGTGCTCAGCCACGGGTTCTTCGGGATTGCTTCTGGATCCTACTATCATCACAAAGCCGTTCCAAAGCTTGGGAGTAGGCTGCTCGTAGTCGGCCACATTTGAAATCTGGAGAAGTTAGCACGTGAGATCGGATTCCCTGTCGCATGTAGCGCAACAACTGAGCAGGAGACAGGCTCATCAGCTCTTCCTCTGAAAAATTGCCGTGGGTCGGAGAACACTCGTCGCTCGAATCTGACGCGTGTTCCCGTGTTCTTTTGCGGATCCTCTGCTCAGCAAAAAAACGCTGGCAATAATTGGTCACGAATTCCCTGTTTGACACCCGCGTCCTGCGAGTCCTGCTCTTCTTGCTTTGGACTTGAGCCGGTGGAGGCAGCAGCCGACTGCCCATGCTTTCAACCGCTGTATTTTGCGGCGATGCATGTGCTTGGTGTGCAGGGGTGTCGCTACTGATTCCACTTGGATTCTCATGCACACGCCCACTCGCGTCACTTGAGGCGACCAGTGTGCTCGCATGACTGGCACAGCTCGTCGAGCTTAGCATGCCCTCAGTTCCCGGAGACACTGGAGAAGTGCCGGCAGGAGGCGGAGTGTGGGGTGATTCATGTGAGTGCATTATAGCTGATGCCGCTTCCAGCGAGGATTGGTCGATGGCCCAAAAACCTCCAAGCGAAAGAGGAACAAGAGAAGAAGCAAACTCAAAGCCAAGTGGAACGCCGCAGTGCGTCAGAGCTTCCTTGCAGCAGATCCGGACAAAGAACTTCGATGGCAGCCGGGCTCTCTGAGAGCTTGGAAGGAACACGCAAGCTTGTGACTCCGCCTCTGCTGGCAGTGGCAAGTCCAGCTGCCACAATCCAATGTGCGCAGGCTCAGCAACCTCTGGCGGCGCAACCGTCAATCGCAAATGCAGTCTAATGGCCGGAATGTTTCCGAGCCACTCCAGACGGAGTGCGTCTTGCTTCATGACAGCTGCAGTCAGCACAACTGCAGGTCTGGAAGGATCAAAAGGGGCGCTGGTTTTTGTGTAAAGACTGAACTGCCATCCTGGCCCATGCTCGGGGCAAGCGTAGTGGGCACCCCACGCATGCAAGTTACGGGATATGTCAGGCCCAAACTGACTACGTAGCTTTCTTTCCATCCTTACTGCTAGGGCAGGTCGCTGCAACGCGGCAGAACCGGCAGAACCTCTCTCTGTGATCCTGGTCCGAGTGCATCCGGTCTCAGACGAAGCTGTGCGTTCCAAATCACCCGGCTTCCACCCAATCGCTGAAAGCCCATCTGCAGAAACTTGCCATTCGCCTGGATACAGCGGAGGCTCCGATGAAGTGACCGCCTCTGTCCTCTCCATGGCACGCCGACTCGGGTAACCGCCAGGGTCTGTTTCTCGTCTGTCGGGCACCACCTGAGCAAGCTGTGCTCCCATCATTCGTCTTGCACCCACGAACTTGGCAGATATCGAGACGCCGGTTCGTTCCGTTCCATGCACCCGATCATGAACAAGGCCGTCAAGCGATTCGAGGGACGGATTCAGGAGAGGAAGGCGCAATCGCCGAGGCCGCAATTCGAAAGTCTCCAAGCTTCGATCTGCAAAGAAAACTCTGACACCAGGCTTCCACTCCTTTGCCACATTAGCTTGAAGCCTTTGGTGCCCGAGAAAAGTGCCATGGGATGAGCCCATGTCCATTACGAAAACCTGGCCATGCCAATTTCGCAAAAGGAGGGCTTGCTTCCTGGAAGCCGTGCACGTACGCAACTCCACATCTGGCTGACGGCCGGCCTTTGCGGTGGCTGCAGTGTGGCGCCTGCCAAAATGGAACCAGGCACGATTTCCCAAAATGATGGGTTCTGGCGCTGTGCGAGCTGGGATCCGCCATATTTCGATACCCGCATCGCTCAACTGGCCATCAGGAGGCGAGCACCATTTGGGCAGTTCACAAGGTGCTTCATCCTCACACGGGGCGATGAGAAGGGTCGGCGCCAGAGGCTCGGCCATCGCAAAGGGCCGAATAACCGAGCCAATAAGCAAGTTCTGAACAACGCGCAATGGACGTCAAGATTACCTAGACTGACCTAGAAACTGGTGTAAGTAATTTTGCAGTTATGGTATTTTAGGCATCTTGGCGGCCTCCTCCTGATGCTGCACTGAAGAGACTCCCCGAAGATGCAGCCAAACCTCCCAATCTTGAGAACGGACAAGCATCAAGAAATCCCCGACTTGATGTAAGCGTCCGGCCAAAAAGGCTGCTGCCTGTGGTCGCGATGCTGCCGCCGCCAAAAATTCCGCCACTGGAGCTCTCGGGCAGCCCAGCGAAAAGGCCGCCACTCGCGCCACCAGTGCTTCCGGAGAAAAGCCCACCACCAGAGCTGCTGGAATTACCAGAGTTTCCAAACAGGCTGCCACTGCCTTGGCCAAAATGTCAAACAGAAATACTCACATGATATGCCAACTGCAAAGTTCCTCTCCACATCGTTGCTTGTAGGCACAAGGCCAGAGAAAAAGCTGCCGGCAGTGTTGCCAAACAGGCCACCCGTGCTGGCAGCAAAAGTCCTTTATCAAGACTTGAAACTCAGCCAAATCAAAAATGCTACCCACTCAGCTTCGAACAAGCTTGCGAATGGGGCTGCAGCCTGTGGCCGACAGAATCACCAAACCGAAACTGCCCAAGCCCTGGAAACTGCCTCCGATGACGTCGGCTTGCTCTCGACCTCAAGATGCGACCCTGTCTGTAATAAGTCAAGATTGGCGGGCCAGGACCAACGAAAGCGAGCGGGTGCGTCAAGCAGCTGAAGCTGCTAATGCGGTGGCTGGGGCGAGCGAGTAAATGCCAGACAGCCCGAAGGCCTGCCTAACTGGACCAGACGTGACTTCATGCGACGTTTCACTCGAAGACATAAGACTTGACTTGACTTAACTCAATGCGTGGAGTTTGCGGCAGTCGGTAAGGCGGTAGAGCGAGTGACTGAAAGACCCTACCCAGCCAACGATACAGTAGCATAATCTGGGTTTGCATTTCCGTCGCCACCTGCATCAGCTTCCTACTCAAGCTCCGCTTCACAGCTTTCGTGATTAGGCAGGCAGACGGCCCCTTTCTTCACCGACAGGCTGCAGCAGCCTCACACAGCTCTGGGGCAAGCAAGCACTTAAGTCCGATTAGGACTCCAAATCTTCAGAGATGGCCTAGTGAAGAAACCCCAGCAATCATACATTCTTTGACCTTCGCGGAGCACCAACCCTCTGTACTCAGAATGAGGACAGCCCATAAACAGCAGCTCGCACTCTTCAAGAAGTTTGGAAAGCTCCACGAAACCATCGCGAGCCAAGTGAACGTCCGTGCACACAACTTGTGCACCTTCCCAAACTAGAAGACGACGAAGCTTGAATGCTAAGGACTCCCGCCAGTCGTCGTTGTCGGGCTTAAAAGCCATACCAAGAATGCCGCATCTAGCTCCCTGCAAACTTCGATTGCAATCGTCAAGATCACGTCTTGCATACTCAACGACGCAATCCGGCATCGTCTCGTTGACCAGCATCGCTGAGTGACCCAAGGAGAAAGTGTGCCGACAATAGGCAGCCAACTGCATGGTATCCTTGAACAAGCAGGGACCTGCCGTGAATCCGGGGCGCGGGAAATCCTTTCCTCTGGGATAGTGGTGCACGATGGCAGCCCGAAGCTTCTCGAAATCCAAGCCTTTGGAAGTGGCAATGTGGTAGAACTGGTTGGCCGTGCCAAAGGCGACGTAGCGCCATGCGTTCAGAAAGAGCTTTGCTGCCTCGGCTTCCTGCAGTTCCAGAGTGATCAAGTCGACGTTGAGCGGCTTGAACAGGGCTGCAGCGTGGGCCAAGGCCCGTGCGTCGGAGCCGCTGATCAGTTGCGGAAGGCTCCGCAGCTCCTCCACAGCCTTGCCCTGAGCGATCCTCTCTGGACAGAAACTCACCCCCACGTCTCCGACTTCTCCTTTTTGCAGCTCGGAGAGGACCCGCTGCGAGGTCCCAGGAAAGACCGTGGACCGCAAGAGGAGCGTTTGCCCATTTCGAAGAAAAGGCTTCAGCTCATTTACACAGTCCTGAATCACTGGGAAGCAAGGATTCAAGTGCTCATCAACCGGTGTTCCAATGGTAACGACGACGACATCACATTCGCGTATGGCGGATACAGATGTCGAAAATAGCAGTCGCTCGGAACACTTGTCCAAGCAGTGCTGCAGCAACGCAGCACCGCCAGCCTCCAGAAAAGGAAATTTGCCTGCTTTAATTGATTCCAGCCTTGTCGAGTCTTTGTCAAGAATCGTCGTGACATGCCCACACTGGGCCAAGGCCAGCGAGAGCGGCAGCCCAACATGACCAGCACCCCCGACAACAGCAACCTTCAGAAATTTCAGAGCCTCTGCATCTGCCTTGGAAATCTGCAGCTCGGGTGGCCGAGCAAACCCCCAACAATCGAAGAGAAGTGGATGCCGCCGGAGTGGAAGGCTGCTATATCGTGTGTGAGGGCATCCAATGAAGATCGCGTCGCTTGACCTACAGCGAATCACGACTACAAAGTTGAACCCTCAAGTCAAGGGGACCAACAGAACAGAACTAAACCCTTCTGAAGCCAGGCGGCTCCAAAAGAGCTTCTTCACTGACAGCAACATCACCGGCTTCAGGAGCCATGTGAGCCCCATAAGCATCAGAGCACACCACAGATGCACCCTCCCTCTGGAGAAGCTGCTTCAACTTGAACGCAAGCGAGTGAGAGCAAACGTCACTGTCTGGCTTGAATGCCATTCCCAGGATACCACATTTGAGGCCTTGCAAGGTGCGGCCTTGACTCCGGAGATGCCTTCGTGCCTGCTCCACGAGACTGTCAGGCATCGTCTCGTTCACCAACATCGCAGCATGGCCTAAAGAGAAGGTGTGCCTGCTGTAAGCTGCCAACTGCATGGTGTCTTGAAATAGGCGAGGGCCAGCAGTAAATCCAGAAGTTGGAAACCCTGCCGCACGCTCATATCGATACATGATTGCCGAGCGAACTTTGTCGAAATCTAGGCCTTTAGACACAGCGATTTGATAAAACTGATTGGCAGCACCAAAGCCAACATATCGCCAAGCATTCAGAAACAGCGTTGCAACCTCCGCCTCCAGAATAGACAACTCCACCATGTCAACTGCCAGTGGGGAGAAAAGTGCTTTCACATGCTCCATGGCCCGAGCAGATGACGCAGATATAATCTGAGGGACCTGGCTTAGTTCTTGGATTGCCTGACTGGCTGCGAGCCGCTCGGGGCAAAAGCCCACTCCGACTTCTGGGCAGGAGTGTAGGCTGTGCCGAATGCGTTCGGAAGTACCAGGGAAAACTGAAGATCGCAGCACCAGGGTTTCCCCTCCTGTTAGGAAGGGTTTAACGGCCCCAACTGCGTCATCAATCAACGCACAGTCTGGAGTGAGCCGCTCATCTACTGGAGTGCCCACTGTCAGGATTACCACTGCGCAGCCCTGTATTGAAGACATTTTAGAAGTCATCTTCAAGCACTCGGGATCCTCCAGGCACCGCGCCAACATTTCCGGTCCACCAGCCTCCAGAAACGGAAGTTGCCCCTTCCGAAGGCCATCAATACGTTTATCTTCATCAATTAACACGACATGATGTCCTCGATCTGCTAGAACGAGAGCAAGGGGGAGCCCCGCACGGGAAACCCCTTTGACAACTGCGATGCGCAGTGGTGCAGGCAGCGCGCGCTTGCGAGATGCATTGCTCATGCAGTTCGAAGCTTGCATCAATCTATCTATCGCCTCAACTGCATGTGTACAGGTCTTGCATCCCTCTTGTGGAGACATATTCGAGATGTTCCCAACTGCCCGTGCCGACATGGAACCGTGGATATGTCTCGGCCAAGCTCGGCAAGGATCAGCAAAGCATGATGCAAACGCTCCAGCTTACACAGGGCCACTCAACAAGCCGATTTCATCTGGCGTCTGGGCGTGGAACCTGAGCCTGACTCTCGGGTGGGTCTGCCTCCGGGTTGCGGCACTGCAGAATCGCTGCAGTAAAAAATCTGCACTGCTCTGCAAATTGAACTGACAAGTGTCACCGCCTTGTTCGAGCCAAACGACATTCCTTCGATTGCGCAGGTTTCGCACGGCTTCCCAAGTTGCATCGCCAACTTAAGATTCGAAGGGTAACTTGAGATTCCGGCCGCTGAACAAGCCACCAGCAGTGTTGGCCCTCCAGCCAACGAAAATATGAAGCCGACAGGGATGGAAGCTGAGACCGAGGCGTATGCGAGGCGAATAGCCCACCACCGAAAAGACCAGAACTGGCTGAAGCGCTGGAAGAGCTGAACCTGCCATGTCAAGACATGTCCGACATTAGTGACATGACAGATCCGCATAAACCGTTCTATTGGACACACGCCGGACAAAGACTCAGGCCCAGACAAAGATCCGCCGCTGGTAGCTGCAGTGGTTGAAAATAACCCACTGCTGGAAGCGACAGAACCTTGCACTTGTCGGCTTGCAGCGCATGGCAAATGGCCCAAACCAAGGTCGTTGGACTCAGGCCAGTGGAGGAGAGAGAGCTAAACAGGCCACCTCGCAGAGAAAGTCTGGCCTACAATCACACCGGACGTGAAGTAAGCTTTTGTCCCCACCTGAAGTGGCGCCACCTAAGCACGCAGACTTTCCACCCTGCTGTAGCTGGCTTGGAAGTTGGCCACTTGCAAAGCGGCACAGCTTGGCAACCGACCAGTCAAAGCAGTCCCCGACGACTGCAACCTTTAACGGGCACTCTTAATTTGCCTGCTCACCAACAGAGACCGGCGGTTATGGTTTATGATGGATGTGCTCAGGCCACAGCGGGCTTGCTGCGAATAGGGAGACCCCCGCGAACGGGTTCCCGTTTTCCCCGGCGTCTGACCTAAGGGAGAACATCCCTCTCAAACACAACATGCACAGCTGAAGGCATCTCCGCTGCGGGCACGGCTCAGGACTGACCTTGGCGGGAGATCAGGTGGAACATCACTCATGACAGACGAACACTGGCTCTTCTTCGAAGGTGGTCCTGAAAACCGGACTGTGAAACTGAGGTAAGTACAAGTCGCTCAACAGGGAGTCAAAGATAGTCACAGCTGGATCAAACAAAGAATATCAAAGGCAAGAGGCTAAGAACAGCCGGAAGGCTCTTGCGGAATAAAACCGGCGAATCGACTCCAGCCCCAGCCGGCAAACAGCCGAAGGATATCAGCCAAGACAACTGAATGCTTTGCGGTGCTGCGCCCCTTCCTCTGAGCTTGTGCATGAACCGAGCAAGTTAGTTGGATGCGAGTGTCCATGGGCAGGTTCGCAAAGTTTCCGCGTGAAGTTGCAACGATGCTTTGAAAAGAATACACCGAGGCATCTGTTGAGGTGCTGTACCACCGCCGCCGCCTTCACCACCACGACCATGTACGACCACGACAACGACCACTGCGACCTCGATTACGACGAGTACTAGTGCTGTTACTGCTGCTGTTGCGGCTCCTCCTCCGCCTCCTCCTCCTGCGCCTGCTATACTATACCACCACTACTACTACTACTACTACTACTACTACTACTACGACGACTACTACTACTACTACTACTACGACTACGACTACGACTACGACTACGACTACGACTACGACGACGACTACTAGTACCACTACTAATATTACTACTACTATTACTACTAGTGTTACTACTATTACTGCCTTTAATTGCATCTCGTTTCGTGGAGCAGTACTTCATAGAGTTTTGGTCTATGTTGTCGCAAGCCATTCGCTCTCTGCAAAAGGAACTACACGTTCCCGATATAGTGCATGTAGCGTGATTCTTCGAAAACATTTGACAACAACCATGTCGGAGGATTGCTCAATCGAAGTGCCTCATTGTTGGTCAGTCACTGTGTGACATGGCTGAAGGAAACCTTCTGCTTGTTCCGGGCTCTTTGGTTCCTTGTCTTTGGCCTTGACCGATAGCTTAACTAACGGCTTGCATCACAGGCAGAACTGATCTCCGAGATCGCCAATCACGAGCCCTTGCTGTCCTCGAACCTGTCGATGTCGGACGTGAAGGTTTTGATGCCCTCGATAGTGAAGTCGCTTTTGGAGCAGCGGTGAAGAAGATTTAGCTTTGTCTTCCTCTGTGGAACTGTCAACAGACTGTACCACTGTATCGTCAGCTGTGGATTCTCCAACTGCTGGCCCCGCTATCTCGCCACTGAAGGTCCATGTCGTGTCTGCGCTCGACCCAGAACTCATACTTGACGCTGTCTCTCAAATACCAACTTCAGCTTTGTAAGCAAGGCTGATAACCTGCGTGAGGGTTTGGTACCGATGAGGCGGTATAAATGCTCACCTCACGAGGGTAATGTCTTAGATGTGGTTCGCCTTTACAGACGCTGGTAGTGATACTCGACGACGATGTATCCCTAACACACTCCGTATCCCTTGCAGGCACGCTCGCAACCAGTGTTTTGCTCGCAAGCACTCAGCCACTCAGCGAGTGGTCTGTGCAGAGGGGATATCTTGGGCAGTTTCTTGGGCCACAAAGTTGCGGTTGAGGCGGAGCTCTGAAAGGTAGGACGCAGCCCACGAGGCAGTCCCGCCAAAGGAATGGTGAGAGCCACAAAGTGATCCCTCAACCTATGCACATGGTTGACCATGACATTGAACTAGTAGCTCATATTGCGACACCTGCGAACTGGACGAGGCATCGAGGTCCGTTCACACTATATAATAACGGTATCTGAATGTAAACATGCACATATATATATATATATATATATACTGTTTTTATATATATATATATGTGTGTATATATATATATATATATATACATGTACACATATATATATATATATATATATATATATGCGTACTGCCCATTTTGAAAGATACAAAAGAATGATAATGTATGTATGTATGTATATATATATATATATATATATATATATATATATATATAAATGTATGTGTAGTAGTACATATGCTATAGCAAAACACACAGGAACACACACACACACACATATATATATATATATGTATATATATATATATACATACATACATACAAACATGTGGATAGTAATGTGTGTGTATATATATATATATACATATATACGAACAATATCTTATGTTAATAGCATATCGAATATACATATATATATATATAGTCTATATGTATATATATATATATATGCATACAGCGCATATTATGTCACATATTTTAGAGACATAGAAGATATTATACATGTCTTATGTTTGACTTATTTTGACTTGTTTTCCTAGCCATATACAAGCCGTCGTTGTTTGGCAAGAGGGAGGGAAGGAAGAACATCAACAGAGGGGGGGGTTGTGTCGTAGTTTGGGGGGCGAGGGGTGGGGTGGGGGGGGGGGATTGTCGGTTTTTGAAAGGAGAGCGAGGGATACTGTCGTTGCTGGGAGGGGGAGAACAACAATCCTCCCAACCCCGCTACCGGCTGCATCTGCATAATCAAACATACATACTAACATACATACTGACATACAAACATACTAAGATCATACGAAAATGCTGAAAATACTGACATACAAACATACTAACATAAACATACTAACATACTAACGTACTAACATACTAATAGATACATAAATTCGTACACATACAGGACGCTCTGCATGCATGCCTGTCCTGACACACGTACCTACATACACATACATATACAAATACGATACATACATACATACATACATACTTACATACATACATACAAACACACATACTTACCTGCGTACTTACATGCCACCCTGCATGCATGCCTCTTTTGCCGTACGTACGTACCTGCACGTTGATGTACGTACATACATACATACATACGTACGTACTTACATGCATACATACATACATACAAACCCCACCTACCCCACCCCCCACCCCATCAAAAGAATTGTCAGCACATGTACATGCTAGCCTTCCCGCACCCGGACTTACATATCCTGCATACAGGCCTGCCTACATACATACGTACCAGCACACATCGTTGCATACGTTGCTGATGTACACCTACGTACGCACCAACGGCGAACGTACGTACCGCTACAGGTACTTATGTACATATTGTCACCCCCCCTTTCGGGTAGCCAATTGAAACACAGGCAGTTCTAGTCCGAGGGCGATCCGCAGCGAACTCCTGTTGCCGTTGTGCCTGAAAGCCCAAAACCCCTTCAGTCAGGTGTTCGACTGCTCTTCGCACATAAAGAAGCTCAAATTCATACCTATCTCCGCATCACCGTCAAGGAAACGACAGACAGCATCTGCGACTGGAAACATTGCTAGGCTGAAGACGCCGACAGCAGCTGCATCACCAGCTGCAGCTTCAGAATCGTTTGTTTTCGGCTCGGGCGTGTAGACCTGTGCTGAGAAGATTTCCCGGGCCCAGCAGGATTGACTGATGTTGTGATTGACTGCCTGGCTTTTGGTGCCTCTGACGTCCAGACCAACAACCCCAATGCACCAAAATCTGAGCAGTTACATGTGGTGGCATGGCACCACGCCGTGAACGTCGCAGACATCCCAAAGTGTCGAGTTTGAACTTCGTGGTTCCTTATGAAAAAAGCAAAGTACTGCTGACTCTGCAGCAGCTTTTGCTGACGACTATAGTGACGATGTACAAACAAGAGTGGGAAAACCGTGTCCCTAGAGGCACGTGGACTAAAAAGGCAAGTGTCGAGTTGCAAGGGAACCAATGCTTACGCGTGGTACTCCAAAAACCGCGAATGCGAAAGGGCAGCGCAACTGGCCTATAGGCCTACGGACAGTCTATAGTCTATAAGCTATGCCGAATGTTCTTTGCTCAAGACCTGTTTTAGTCTGCTCAAGCCTCGGCCATCTCTGCTCTTGCACTGTTGAAGGCCGTTTTGAACCTCAGTGGTGACTCGTGGACGTGTTTCGTACACGAAACCATTACATCTGCAGCAGTCAGCATGTAGGCAGCCGGCTGCTGTGCAAGATCTGCATCTTTGAATCTGAGTGAAAACTGCTCCACCTTTTGTTCATCCTGTCACAGACACATAAAAGCTACTGGACAGCTTGAGCCCGATGCCTGCCTCCGCACAATCTATGGTCGTCCATGTCCAGATTTTGTCACCTCAGACCAGAAGGAGTGCGGCAAACAGCCAACACGATGTTGCTCAAGCGACATGCTCAGTACATATTCATCAACTCCTACTGGGTGCCGAACTCCCAGCATTCGGCGCGAGCTCACAATACGGAGGGTAGGCGATTAAGTAATGATTGGCGACCTCATTGCATGTTCATCTCCTGCATCAATTTCGGTCAGGTTCTTGGTATCGCACAATCTTGCCGGTCTTCTCTTGCCGCATCATATACCGAACTTTCCCTGTTACCTGGAATTTGTCGGTGGCAGAATGATGCCGAACAGTTGGGCGAAACTATTCAATGAGTTCAAGAATTCAGAAAACTGATTCCCGGATCACGAAGGCATGGACACAATCAGCAACTGTCAAGGCCCGCCCTGTTTCGAAGAAGCTTGGAATCACCAAGCCCTCTTTCCTTCCAGTCGCTGTCTTTGAAGCGATACCTGGAAACATAGCATCGGAAGAATCCTTGGATTGGATCCTGCCGTAAAACCCTACTCGTCCAAAACATTTGCACACGGGGCACAGCTTCGATCTTTGGGAATAAATTTCGTCTTCATCTTCCTCACCGGTGCGAATCTCCTGCCAGGCTGGAAGCCTCAACACGCCACGGCAGGTCAGAGGCTATGCCGTGTGCGACCGCAGGCTGAAGCTTTGCTGTCCAGTGGGTCCAGTGAAACACAAAAACCCCAGTGACAGAGGCTTGGGGCTTGCCCGACAATTGCAGCGCGTGTGAACACAAACCTTGCAATCCTGCGCTCTTCCACTATCGGGTCCTGGGGTTGCAACGTCACAGTCGGAGCCCAGCCTATCAAATCAAAGAACAGCTGAGGACGAATTCCCAGAAAGTGTTCAGATCTGCAGTCTTTCTTGATGTTGTGTGACATGAAAACAGCACCGTGGCTCAAGAACTGCGCAGTCCGGCCTGGCACGACGGTGACTTCTTCTTCCGGCACCAGCTCATCCTGTTGATGCTGCACAGATTCATCAGAGGCGATGCAACACTTTTGCAGACTTGCCTCGACCCCTTCTGCAGCGGCTTGTGCTGGTGGCGTGGGGCTTCCATGCGGCTCGCTGTGCGGCTCGCTCGGCGGCGGTCCAGGCCCATCAGCCTGGTCAACTGGACGTCGCGATTTTCTTAAGCGCTTTGGCTGTTCAATTCGTTGTTGAGAAATGCCGTAGTGGGTTCAGGAATATATCGTCCAGATACACCTAAACTCGAAACCTCACGCAAGACCACCGTCCGTCATGCGCGATGGCAGACTTGGAGAGAAACATTGCATCATCGCCTTATATGTGCGAGGCCTGGCACCCTCCCGCAAACAGTTTCGAACCTCCCAAAACAATCGCAACCTCCCCTAATCAAGGATCTACACAATAACTGTTCATCAAATCTTGCATGTCGCGGGCACGTTCGAAGCGAATTGTCAAAGTGCCAGGGCATGCGGGGGACACGATGTCAACCAACGGGCTCAAACAAACGACCTAGCCCGCTTGCGTTTCGATTACCAACATTCGTGGCGCTCTTACCAGCACCACCACCTCGTATTCCTACTCCTGCTCCCACTACTACGACTATGACTACTACTACGACGACTATTACTACTCCGCCTTCTCCCACACCAAGACTACTACACTGCTGCTACTGCTACCCGCGGTGCCAGGGTCACTTAGCCAACCCCGAACACGGTCACTTGGCCAATCGGAAACCGTATCATGTTTCAGGTCACTTAGCAAACCCCGTGCGGTCACTTAGCCAACCCTAGGGTTTAGGGTTTAGGGTTTTAGGTTTTAGGGTTTCGGGTTCAGGGTTTCGGGTTCATGCTTTCCTTTTAGGGTTTAGGGTTGAGGGTTTAGGGTTCAGGGTTTAGGGTTTCCTTTTTAGGGTCTAGGCTTTAGGGTCCAGGGTTTAGGGTTTAGGGTTTCCTTTTAGGGTTTAGGGTTTAGGGTGTACGGTTCAGGGGGTTTTGGGTTTAGGGTTTCTTTTCAGGGTTTAGGGTTTTGGGTTCAGGGTTTAGGGTTTTGGGTTTCCTTTCAGGGTTTAAGGTTTAGGGTTTAGGGTTTCCTTTTCGGGTTTAGGGTTTCCTTTCAGGGTTTAAGGTTTAAGGTTTTGGGTTTCCTTTTAGGGAAACCCGTTTCCTTTTAGGGTTTAGGGTTAAGGGTTTAGGGTTTCCTTTCAGGGTTTAGGCTTCAAGGTTTAGGGTTTCCTTTTAGGGTTTCCTTTTAGGGTTTAGGGTTTAGAACCCGTTTCCTTTTAGGGTTTAGGGTTTACGGTTTAGGGTTAAGGGTGTGGGGTTTCCTTTTAGGGTTTAGGGTTTAGGCTTGAGGGCTTAGGGTTTAGGGTTTCCTTTTAGGGTTTAGGGTTTACGGTTTAGGGTTAAGGGTGTGGGGTTTCCTTTTAGGGTTTAGGCTTCACTGTTTAGGGTTGAGGGCTTAGGATTTAGGGTTCCCTTTTAGGGTTTAGGGTTTCCTTTCAGGGTTTAAGGTTTAGGGTTTAGGGTTTCTTTTAGGGTCTAGGGTTTCCTTTCAGGGTTTAAGGTTTAGGGTTCAAGGTTCACGGTTTCCTTTTAGGGAAACCCGTTTCCTTTTAGGGTTTAGGGTTTACGGTTTAGGGTTAAGGGTGTGGGGTTTCCTTTTAGGGTTTAGGCTTCAGGGTTTAGGGTTGAGGGCTTAGGGTTTAGGGTTTCCTTTTAGGGTTTAGGGTTTAGGGTGTAGGGTTTAGGATTTTAGGTTTTTTTTTTCCCTCTCGCATTGCTTGGAAACTGTGCCCGGCTCGCGAGGTCTGACATGGGGAGACAACTGAAAGTGACGCCATCAGCATTCGTGATGTACAGCAACAAAGAGTATCTATACAGTAGGTGCGTTCGCAACGGCATGCATGTTTTGCCAGTGCTACCAAAATGGTCCTCACACCAATTAGCTTTCAATCTCTCTGGACTCATCATGCCTCACTCACTTGTGTTCGTACCGGTGTCAGTCAGCGGCTTGCCCACTGAATGAATCAAACAAGTGGTGCCATCATTTCTCGCACACAGTGTGTGTGTGCCAAACTTTTCATCGACGTGGTTTGTCAAGGTATATTGGGCTTTTTGCCTGTGTCACCCCCTGCTTCACATCTCTCCCATCAAAAGACAGGGGCAGTGCAGAGGGACGCCCAGCTTTGGCCGTAACGGAAAGCCTGAATCCGGAGAAAAGCCACCAGCTGACTCGTCAAATCCGATGTGGAGCCATTGGAAGTGTAGGTTGTCCAGGCCCTATGAAGGGTTGTGTCACGAACCACCGAACAGCCAGTATGTTGGGCCCATAAGCACAAAACTGCACCAGAGATGGAGTTCAGCCTCCTATGCATCGCCGGTCAATACTGAGACATGCCATAAAGCTGCAGGCCCATCTGTCTAGTGGAGTCCAGCCTCCAATTTCACAACACAGCGTCAGAACTCAAGTCAACCAGAGCGTTGCGTGCGACTGTCGGAAAGCTTCCCACTCTGTGTCAGCTGAGTCCATCACTGTAGCATGGAGGCAGTGTTTTGTGTGCGCGACCCATGTCAACAACTCATCAGCTCGTCCATGTGGACGTCAAACCAAAACTACTGTGTTCCAAGAGCAGCGCAAACTGTTCCAGTATCAGCGTCTGGCATGTGCTGACTTGTTTTCCATGGCACGATCATGAGGCATTTTTCACCGAAATAAGGCGAAATAAGGCGTGGAAAGCCCCGAAGCATTTGGAAGTGACCCCATGTAGATTTCTTGTCCCTGAGGACCCCCGTAGTTACGCGGAGCGGGCCGGTGTGAAAGTGAGCAACGGTGGGGTGAGGTGACGTGGGGCAGTGGAGCAGTGGAGCATTGGATTAGCTGCAGCAGTTGATGCCCCCCGATTTTTCTGGTTTTTAGGATTTTAAGGGAGGCCAAGGGGAAAGTATTGAAAGTACGAGGATGTAGTCGGAGGTATCTCGGGCCACGGGTCCTAAGTGGGGTCCAGCCGCCTAATGTAACCAAGGCGCCCAATGCAGCCAAGCATCCGAAAACCCAGAGACTAGTGCAGCCAAGCATCCGAGAATCCCAGAGACTAATGCAACCAAGCATCGTGATCCCTTTGTCTGAATTCCGAATTGGTGAGTTAAGAGGCGGACCCTCAACGTAGCATAGTGCAACTCCAAACCCCCAATCAACACGCAAGAAACACAAGGTCTCAATTAAACCTGCAACTTGCAACTGCGGGACTCAGGGTCCAATTAGGTCTGCAGGGGTTTGGGATACAGCGTCAGTCAACTCGCTGAGCTAACCTAGCGAAAAACTCCGGGATCAAAGTCTGTTGTGACATGGTTGCATGTGGCACGATGGCTGGGAAACGAAAAAGTTGGCTGAGACGGGGCGCTATGTCAAGGGAGCGGAGGGGTGTGAAGGCTACCAACACGAGCCTACTTTCGGTTCTAGGCCACTCTTGAGTGGCATGTAGTATACTCCGGGCCGAAAAAATGAATGGTTGGGAGATGTCCTGTATTCTGCCGGCAACCTCATGTCCTTGAAAACCCATGGGGCAATTCCCTTTCTCATGCGCAACCCACAAGTGGCCCCCTACCTGATGGTCAGTCAGAAGCAACACCAAGTTGGAGCCCAGGTTTTTGGTATCCCGATGAGGCCCCCTAGATGAGTTAAGCCGCAGGCTCACCGTCTTAAAGGGGAACCCTGGGGCTACTTGCGAAACGAAAACTGTCAGTAGTTGAGTACAGTAAGGAAGATTCTCACTAAAGGTTGTAGCTTTCCGGGCATTTCGTGGGTTGGCTCCAGCTACAATCATCCTACAAAAGGGCTCAAGGGGATCACGAATGTGGGTTCTCTTGGGAAGAACAGCCCAAAGTTCCTGGATATGAGATTTGGTGATATTTTCACCCCTCTTATGTTTACAGAGAATGCTGTATGCAAAGGTTTCCGCAGGAGCAAAGGCAGGGTCAACTCCGAGGGCTCTAGCCAGGGCCTGAATGGACCTAGGATCAAGGTCAGTGGTTGCAGAGGCATCGTCCTCAGTTAGTTCGGGTGCAGGCCGTTTCATGGTCCCCTGGCTACATGTAACCCTCTGCTGTTCACTGAGCAGAAAGAACGGACAGAGGAAAGCGGACATCGACAATGCACAAGCTGTTACATCAGACCACGGCGCAGGACGCTGCAGTAAAGCGCAGAACGCAGCCCAAAGGTCATGAGGATGTTTTGCAACAGTGCTGCGGCATTTGGGCGTCACATGCAGGCGTTGTACGCCGATTAACAACGGTGTGAAGTGCACCGAGTTTCAGTCGTTGTGCAGAATTACAAATTTACGAATTAAGTGAATGCATGCAGTACAATATGCAAGTATAGCCAATTTGGAACACCGACAATGAATAGCCGAATTGATGCTGCAAATAGTTGCAGACTTGGTGTGCAGTGTAATTAGACCAATTAAAACGCCCATACCATTCCAGGCTGTCGAAACCCCTTTGCAGAAGGACGGGACAACAAGTAGGTAGTAGTAGGTTTTGGCTAGATTGGGGACATTGGGTAGAAGTCCCATGGCGGCTAGGGGCCGACAGCGTGTGACTTTCAAACGTAGGAGGCTACAGGCATTGCATTACACCAACCATCAGAGTGCAGCTAATTTAAACACTAGAGGAGCCTAGCTGAGTAGAAACAAGGCGATAACATTAGTAGGCTCAGCGTTGGTTGTTCAACAATGCCTGTAGGAGATTACCATTGGCAGACTGCGAGGGTAACTGCGTTATGACAAAGCTAGGCTGCGCGGGCTGTGGATTCAAATGTTCGGACAACCTCAACTGTATCCCCGGATTGATGCCCGAGCCGCCGCCGTCGATGGAGACAGGAATAATAGTAGGCTGCGTGTGAACGGATCCCAGCGTCTGTGGCGGTACCAGCGTTGTAGGTGGCCCCAGCGTCGTTGGCGGTGTGGTAGGCTGAGGTGTCGCGTGATGAGGCGGAGGGGCATTGGAGGATCCCGTGCTCTCTCCCGAACACTTCTCAGCTGGCGGCTTCCTCTGTGGAAGCTTCGGAAGCCTCGTCAGAATCTCCTGGATGAGCTCCTTGTCTGTCAGCAGAGTTTCGAGCTTCGTCTCTGCCTACGCCA